ATTAATATTATTTATTATATTATAAAAATATATAATTCAATCGTTAATAATAAGTAATATTATTTATATATTTAATATTAATATAATATTTTAGTATTATGATTTTTTTATAAATATGATTAAGTATTATGTTAATAAAATACTAATTTTTAAAATATTTAAAATATATTCATTAATTTATTGATAATATTTAAGTTATTTTAATATTGTAATAATATCTTCAGGTATATAATAGATCATGAATATAATTAATACTATTTAATATTTTTTATTAAAATATTTTTGAACAATTAATAAAGAGTAATATTATTTTATGTGATATGATATTTTATTATTACTTTAATTAACATATAAATTATTAAAATAATTAAAATATATTTATTAATAAAAACATAAAAATATTTTAATGATAATATTGAAAAAATAATATTGACTAAATTAATCTAATATTTAAAATATATAAACTTACAATTTGAACTCAGTTCATCGATTCAATCTTAATCAAACCTTAACAACCCCCAGCATTTGCATTTTTCTATCTTGAAGGAGAGGATGTAGTGGCCCTGATTTAAGCAAGACATGTCTTTTATGTATCCAGAAATGAGCATGCACACACGTACACATAAATATCCTGGGATGAATCAAATCGGGGTGTACATTCTAAATTTCCAAATTATCATATATTTTAGATACTTTTTCTGTATCTTCTATTGATAATCTATTTTCATTTCCAGAATTTCATAAGTACACCTCAATCTTTAAATTTTTAAAATTCACTCTAGTAATGTAAAATCATGTATCCATCCCTGTATATCTATATTGATTAACATACAATGTTGTTTTGCAGGCGATGGCGTACTTGAACGTGGCTGCTGTGGGAGCAGCAGCACAATCAGCTGTGTTTGCCAAATTCGGGCAAACGCAGCTTCAATGGATGGTGATATGCAACATGTACGGGAAATTCTGCAACCAGGTTGGTGAAGGAATAACAGTGGCACTACTGGTTTGCATTATCATGGTGGTCCAATCTTGTATCTCTGCTTTTGGTGTGTTCCGCTTATATGGTGGCAATAAGTCCAAGAATTTCGGCTGGTAGAAATTTGGGTGCCAATATGTATTACTTTGCTTCACATTTATAGGGTAATTTCCAAGGTTTTTATGTAATTTTATGTTTGTTATATATAGTATATAATGTTTAATGATGATAGTTTGTCAGTTTTGGAATCCCATTTGACAATAAATGAAGGCTGTTTTTTACTTTTTGCAGAAATTGTTATTCATTAAAGCCGCTGAGTTTTTCATGTGTATTTTCATGTTCCACACATCTGCAAGCACGAAGGAGAATAGAATAGGATACCTTAAGTGTTTTTTTTTCAAATGAGGTTTATTTGTAAAACAATTATCTAAATTATACTCCTAATTGATGTTAAGTGTTTAGTTTTTTTCAAAGCATGTGACGTTTTATTAGATATAACTCAAATTCTAATTAAAAAATAAATTCAATTTTATTGGTTAAAGATTATTTGGTGATAAGAATTTTTAGGCAAAAAGGTACGTGTGTCTCTAGTAATTAAAAAAAAAATTCAATGTGACTCTCGGTATTTTTTGCAACCAATGTGATACTCAAACTTATACGACAGACCTAATCTGATCATTTGACTAACAATTTTTCGACGTTGACCATTAAGGTGCTGACATGACAATCCACAATGGCAGATGATATAGTTGATGATGTGGCAAATAGGCTAAATTGGTTTCTTTGTCGAGTTTGAGGGTCAAATTGATTTTTTTCTTAAAGTTTATGGACTTATTTATTTTCTTAAAAAATATTTTAAATTTTAAATTTAAACTATACAAATATAGAAAAAATAAACATATAAAATATTAAAAATAAAATTGAATTACTAAAAAATTAAAACATATATATTAACTAGAGTGATTGAAAATGTTATTGTTAAATGATTTATTCAATTGAGAGACAAAACCTAGTGTGAATTTTATTTTATTTAGTACTATAATCATATTTTTATGCTTCTACATGTCAATTTTAATGTCAGTTTTATTTTTTTCATTTTATAGAGACAAATATTCTATTCCTTAAAAATTTAAAAAAATGGTAAAAGAGTATGTGAGGTCCTCCTCATATTATATTCACTAAAATGCTCTTAATTGTATAACTATTTTTTAAGATTTTTTAATTATACATTTTATGATAAATTTTAATTCTATAATTCTATAAATTTGATTTTTTATAAGATTTTATAAAATTTATTTAATTTAATTTTATAAAAATTTAGTGAAATCGAATTAGAAATAGGTTTAGAGTTTAAGATAATTAGAGGTAAATATATAAAATAAAATTTGTATAAGATGGATGATTCAAATATATATAAATAAAATTCAAGTTAAATTCTAGGTAAAAAAATAATTATATACTCTTAATTTTTAGTAATTCAATTTATATTTTTTATATTTAGCTTTTTTGAATTTTTTATTTTAAATCAAAAATATTTTTATTTTTTTCTCAAAAATCAAATAAGTTCATAAACGTTTAGAAAAAAATAATTTGACCATCGAACTTGATCAAAAAATCAATTTAGCCCATATGTCACATCATCATCTACGTCACTTGCCACTTTAGATTGTCACATCAGCACTTTAACAGTCAATGATGGAAACTGTTAGTCAAAGTGCCACATTAAGTCTATTTTCTAAGTTTGAGGGTCACATTGAGTGCAAAAAACTTACGAGGACCACATTGATTTTTTTCAAAAAGTGCAAGAGCCTCACATACCCTTTTGCCAAAATTTTAATCAGTATTTAAATTTATAAATAAAAAGTGTTAGTTTTTAGAACAATGAAAGAAAATTATTTTGAACATATGTTATCTTTTAGTAGTATGTAATTTTTTAGGGTTTAGTTGTAGAGATGAGTTTTAAGAGGTATTTGAAGAGTGTTTTGGGATACATTCTGATTTTGGAATATATGAGTTATCATGGACTTCTATTTTTCGTTATCTCGTTGTTTATAGTGAATTATTATTTCTTTCATCTGCGGAGATAGGTAAAATTGAATCATATTAAATATCATCTTTTGTGTGTGTATCTTATTTTAAATTGACCCCACTTTATTTTTGTTCCGCTCACAAATTTCTAACAAGTTGTATTAAACTTAGGGTTCAATTTGTTGAGTTTTAAAGAAATTTGTTGTTGCGGGTTTTGTTAGCAACATTAGAGACATGCAAGATGAATTTTTCTGCAATAAGGTTTCAATTGCATAGGAGAAATTTTCAAATTTTCAAATGATCCAATGGTACATCGACATATATTACATAAGAATTGAAGTTGTTAAAGATTTGACGGTGAAGTTTGAACAAATACTTAGTTTACGTAGAAATTAAAGTTGTTTAAAACATGACAAGAGAGTTTAAACGAATATTTGAATTACGTGCAAATTGAAGTTGTTGAAGATTTGAATACCAACGTTGTAATTAAATTTGTATCAAGAGACATTATTAGATATTGACTCAAATTTTATTTAAAAATTAAGTTTGATTTATTTTAATTCTAATGGAAAAAGATTACTTGATGATTAAATTTATTTAGTAAAAAATATTTTAAATAATGATTGTCGGTGATCAAGTAGTTGACTTTAAAAATAGAGAGCGAGTCTAAGCCTTTAAAATGATGAGAGAATTATTTTAGAGAAATATAATCCTTTTATAGTCTCTTTTAACTTTTGGGGTTTATATTATTGAGATAGTTTTTAAGAGATGTTAGAAGAATGTTTTAAAACACATAATTTTGGAATTGATATCAGGTTTTGAGGATATCATCTGTAGCAAATTATTATTTCTTCTATCTGTGAAAATAGATAGAATCGAATTATATTAAATCACTTCTCTTATGCGTTTTTTACTGTAAGTTTTTATCTCAATTTTTTTCATTCACAAATTCGTAGCATGTTTCATTTTGTAATCACTTTCAGGTCCTCCAATAAAAAACTTGTTATCATCTATTTATGAGTTCTTTAACACATGCAATATTTTTACCAACATGTTATCACAATCAAAATTTAAGTATTTGAGACTAAATTTTTACAATCGAATTAATTGACAGATTAATAAAATTAAATTTCGGTTCAGTCGGTTAATTTGATTAAAATCAAATAATAAATACCTATAGTTCTTAAATATTGATTTTTATTTTAAATTGATCCATAAATTTTTTATTATTCTGATTTTATCCTCAGGCTATGACTTTTATTCTAAATTTATCCTTGAATTTTTTAACATTTCAATTTTATACCCAAAATATGAGTCATTTTAAATTGGTTATCAAACTTTTGAACATTTCAATTTCATCTCAAACTATAGGTATATGCTAATCGCATCCTTTGTTAATAAAATCGTTAGGCCAAGCTATATTATTATATGTTTGGAAAAAAAAATTAGGTTAAATTATGGTTGAAACTAATTACATATTTTGATAAATTTGGAGATGAAAATGGAACATTCAAAAGTTTGGGGACGGATTTAGACTAATAGTTATAATTTGACAATGAAATTGGAATATTCAAAAATCTGAAAACAGAGTGATAATCTAATAACGAAATTAGAATATTTAGAAGTTTAAGTATCAATTTAAAATGCGAGCCATAATTTAAGTACATATGATGCAATTAATTAAAATATGAATAGGATAACTGACAAAAGATTTAATTGGAAATAAATCTCTACATTAGATCGTTGCCAAGTTTAAACATAGGAATTAACCCTGAAATCAAATTTTTAATACCGAATCACGAATCCATTAAAAATATAACCTAAAAAACATGAAAACTTCCATGTTTGGTTTTTATTTCTTATATTAGATGTTGTCATTTTCCTCATTAAGTAACGTACAAAAAATAAAAGCAGCAGATCAGTAACACGTTTTGCATAGAAAACGATAGCTCTTCTCAGCAACCGCCCATCTACTCCTTCACTTTCTTCTCTCCATCACTAATCCTCACCGCCGCTTTCAACAAACGCTCTTGCAGAAAATGGTAAACCTCAACCTCAACGTTTATGTATAATTTGTACTCGGGATAGACCGAGGGAGGCTGAGGGCAATCGTTGCCTGATATTTTCAAATTTTCATTCATTTTAGATTTTTATTCATTTTTTTTATTGATAATATATTTTCTGTTTGATAACTTTATCAACCCTGATCTATGTGAGGATATGTATGAATCATAGAATTGGAAATGCATGTCGATATTGATGATCTGTGATGTTTTTTTTTTCACTTGGTTAAATGATAGAATTGAGTTTTAGTCCTCTTAATTTCACCTGTACTGTGTTTTACTCTGATGAAATATGTTGTGATTTGCATTTTGAAAAGACTACCTCAAAGCGCCTTTCCGGAATGAAGGTTGCAAGGTTTCAAAGGAACATTACAAAGAGGGGATCTGGGTCAACAAAGAAAGGCAATGGGTACCCTGTCGGTCCAATTCTTCTTGGCTTCTTCGTCTTTGTGGTTGTTGGATCATGTATGCTCCCTCTATGCCCTTTTATTTAACAGCGGGGATTTAAGTTACGGTTATGACTATGTTTTCGATTGTGTTGTGTTTACCATGATTGTGGACATAACTGCGGTCAGTGAGTATTGTGATCGTATAATAACTGTTTTGGAAGGCACTGGCTACTATTCCTATAGAGGACTCCAATTTAAATTCCTGTTTAACAGTGCTATCTAATAGGATTAGCTAAAGCTTGTCAATTTTTATGAAGCATGAGGACTGAATTGTAAATAATTTCATTTACTTGACAGCTATTTTTCAGATGATTAGGATGGCAACCAGCAAAGGCACGGCTTGAGGAGGAGAAGAGGAACTGAGGGGATGAATAAGACATCGGCCCTTAAAACATGTAATGAATGAGTCGTGTTAGTTAGCTAAATAAAAACGTTGCACATATGATGTCTTCTTGACATCTTGGTTTGGTTTTTTAATGAATAAAGTGCATGTTTACGGTTCTGGACTCATGTTACACAAACATCTTGGTTTGCTTTACATCTCTTGCCCATGGTAAATATTTTGAGCTGTTTCTTTTTGGCCATATATTTTCATTTTTGAGCTTAAATCATTAAAAAATGTGAAAAAGTTTTAGATTCGCATTATTTCGAGTTTAGATTGTCTTAGGTAGTTTGAACCATTTTCAAATTTAGGTTGGAGCTGGATTAACTATTTATAATCAAATCGGGTTAATCGAGTCGAGCTTTTAATTTCAGCTCAGAATTTGACAGTTCTACTAGTATAGAATCTGAATTTCCTACCAAAGAATCAGAATCCTCAGTTCCATCAAATCCCATGCCTGGGCACAATACTTACCAGTTTTCAACTGTTCTACTACCACTGTTTTTGAGGATCATTATTGCCTGATGACGATTCAGGGCAAGGTATTGGAGTTGTTTTGTAAGAGAAGTGACCCGTCTTTGGAGTGTTGGATTCAATTCTTTGGTCAACATCTTTATTATTATCTCTCTAATTATTTACTTTTTTTTTTATTTTTAGAATTGTGACTTCTTCCATCTTTCTCTCTTTTAAAAAATTTATTTTTTTAAAGTGAAAGTTAAAGTGACAGGTCAAAGGGTGTCAACAGGGCCGTGGTTAGGTTTTCGGGAGTCATGTATAAATTATTATAAAGGGGTCTTATTTTTTAAATATATTCGATTTTGGAGCAACAATAATGGCGTTTTTTTAAAAAAAACGTCGCAATAGGTCCATCTATAGTGGTGTTTATTGGAAAAACGCCACTATATATATACTTTTTTTGGGATTTTTTGGGCCTACGCAATAATAGTGGCGTTTTTTTGAGAAAAACGTCGTAATATGTCCATCTATAGTGGCGTTTATTAAAAAATGTCACTATATATATACTTTTTTGGGGCCCCATGTTTTGGGGCCCCTGCGCGGTCGCGCAGTTTGCGTCGTCCAAACCACGCCCCTGGGTGTCAACATGACCAAACAGTACCAACTCAATCGCTTGAATATGTCACATTAGACTACTGTGACTATAGTAATCGCTTGAATATACCACATTAGATTATTGTGACTATAATAATGTTTGTTAACGATTGAGTGATTGATTTATTACAAAATTACAATATTAGTGATTGTTTTGTTATTTTTAAAACTTCAGTGCTAAAAATAAAATTTACTCATACTATACTTCGATGACTACTTATATAGATTACCCAAAATATTAGAGGAAAACTCTTTAGTTATTAAATCCCTCGTTAATAAGAAAAATTATACTTATATAAATTAAGAGGAGCCTTCCTAATTTATATAGCTAAATTATAATTTTTGGTTCATATTGATTTATTTTTTAAGACTCTAGAGAGACGAAACCGATCAAGTGTGTTTTTTTATTATGATAAATGTATCATTTAAAAATACAATGATTAAACGAATTTTTATTTTATATACTAAAGAAATGACATTTTGAGAATTAATTATAAATGTGGGTAAATTTTAAAAATAAAATTTTAAACAGTGATGTTTATGATAAAAATATAAAATTTATCTTTCTGTACACTGCATTAACAACTGATACAACCTATTAATCAAGTTAAATTCATTGTTTAAGCTGCTATAGAAGGATAAGGTGTGTATTAGTCAAATATATATAGAGAGAGAAGGATAAGATGTGGATGAACGAAAATGAAAGTTGACCCCCTCATAGCAACCACACATGGAAGTGCAGAAACCAGATGCCACCCAAATAAGGCTTTAGGTCCCAAAATCTCTGCAACTCTCCACCAAAACATGAAGACCTCAACCCTCAATCTCCAAATCTACAAGCCACACCAAGCTCACCACAAAGTCCCCACCACCATTTTCCACCCGCTTCAACGCATCGCCGCATTCAAACCCCACAACAACCATCGGAGCACGCCACTGAAAACCACTGCAATAACAAACAAGCCAGTGATTCAAGTAACCCACAAAAGAGAGCTCACACATGTTCCACCAAGTGATTTCTCACGGTTTGTGGTAGTGGGAGCTGTTTCCATGGGTTTGGCTTTGCTTCTCATGGAAGCCGATGTTCAAAAGGCTTTGGCTTTGGGTCCTGAAGGGCCATTGATGGAGGAGTTTTGGGACAATGTGAGGAGATACGCGCTTTATGCACTCACCGTCAGTACTGGGGCTGTTTATACCATCATGCAGCCTATACTGGAGTTGTTGAAGAATCCCATCTCTGCGGTTCTTATATTGGTCATTTTGGGTGGTGGTATCTTCATTGTTTCGCAAGTACTTTCGGCTATGGTTGGTGTCACCGGTTTTACTTACAGTTATGGATATTAGGTTCCCTAATGACGGTAATCGCGATAAACGCTATAAAAAAAAATTAGGATCATTTGAATTTTTGGTTTTCCTAGACTTCAGATTGGTTGGTTTTTGCTTTGAGTTTACGAGTTTTTCCGGTTTTCAGTTTTGTGGTCTTTCCATTATCTTATCCTTCCAAGATCATCTTATCTCTCATGGCGGATATTGATAAAATATGTATGCATAGTTTTCTGCGGAATAAATATATTACTATAGATTGGATTAATGGCATATTAGCCTGAATTAGAAGATTTTGTTTTACATAGTTAAAGAGTTCTCCACATTAGACACCTTTGAAGGAAGCATTTTCTACCTATGTGACAGAGGATAATGAAAATCATGTTTCATCGACTTCATCTTCCTAAAATTTTAAAAATATATTGCATGACCAAAGTAATAAATTTGTTAATGAACACATTATCTTCTGAGTGAACAATAAATTTGTTATACTCCTTTCAAAGATCTCACATAATCTGCTAGAATTAATCGGCAATCGGCTACATCAGTTAGACATGCTCATCCTGTCAGTCTATAGGTAACCACCATAGCCCTACACCTGCATTAAAATACAATATATAAAACCCCTCTTAATTATGAGAGACAGAGATGGCAAGACCTTCATCTCTTTCGGCTATCCTCCTCCTCTATATTTCGAGATCCTAGATATTTTGAAAACTAGACGACCTACATTGCCTACGACTCGATCACAGAAAACGGTTGATTAGCAATCAACTCTCTACTGCAACTCTACTAAAATCATATGATGTGAATCTCCATCAATCAATGTAAAGTCATATTTGTTCCATCAACAATTAGTGCGACGTCCCCTCAAAAAAGAATTTACTATGAATCTCTTAAATTGAAAATTCCCCGAACCCATTTTTCTAAAAAGCTGCATCGAACCACCAAAAGTCCAACAAACTATGAATCCTTTATGGCCTACCACTCTTTTTTGAGAATGATCCGAATCAATCCAATTTCTGGCCTACCACACTTGTTGGTTTGAGAAATATCTGAATCACTCCTTGTGAATTCAGTCAAGGCATTAGTAAGGGAGTCATTGGACTCTTGATTAACTTCGGGGTCACCTCTGGACGTAGTAATTCATATCCTACGTGACACTCTCATCATCCTCATAAGATCCAAGATCCCTCAATACAAACCCTTTCGATCATGATCTATGGGGACAATTACAACAGACAAGCATAGTCCTCTACCTTAACATCTTCGCCTACTAGAGATGGGCTTCCCAACTTCAAAACCTTTACCACATCTGTAGGCAAAATTATTCAAAGTAAAGAGGCTTCGAAACTCTGCCGATCGTCAATAAAGTAGCTGATGAGAACCCGCTAAAAAACCCTAACCACTTGGTCCAGTCACATATTTTATAAATTTGTGGGTTGGAAAGATGAAAATCAACCTCTAAAACAAAGTAAAACCACTCCAGGACTAAAGTTCAACATTTTCAAATTAAAGATGAATTGAGAATGAAGTTGTACTTTAAGAACCTGACTTCTAATATTCATTAATAATCAATTGGTGCTTTTGGTAACTTACGATTTTTTATCTTTGTTTTTGTTTATCTTTTTTCTCAAGGTTGGATTTAGCATCGCTACTACTAATCAAGATGACGCTTATTTGTTATCATGATGATTTTCTCTGCTTTGGACCCTCAAATTGATTTGGATACGCATTTTGCGTTCGTTGATAGTTTTCTCACGTCGTTTGACTCTGATTTGCGATTTATCAGTGATCTTTCAATAGCTTCATCCTTTTTGTGGTTCTTTTACCAATGCATTCAGATTTGTTCGTATATTTATTTTATTTGAATTTTTTATTATGTTTTTTTAACCTTTTTCTTCTTTAGTCATTCTGTGATAAGGGTTGAAGCACAATAACATATGGTTGCATCTAATTAACAATAAATTTGTATATTTTAAGGAAAAGTGATTCATGAGCTACCATATCTTATGATCATGTTATACATGTACGTAGTAGTTATGGTACTTTTCTCTTTAATGTATTCTACTTTTCTTTTGTATAACTTATTAGGCTGTAAATTTTCAAATTATTATTTAGATGATAATATTCAAATCGTTTTATTATTTAATTTTAAAATTATTATTTTTATCTTTTCATAATATATACGAAAAGAATTTATTTGCAGAGCTCAGTGGAAAACACTAGAATGGACTATGTAGGAGATGCTATGTAATTGCCATATTGAAAATCCGACACTTCATACAAATAACTTGATTCTAATACTATAATAATCAATGTTACAGGTGACTCAAATAATTAAATAATATTTTATTATAAGTTGATGATAAGTAATATGATTGAAGGTTATTATAGATTTAATTAATTGTTTTGTTTCCACGAATTATAGAATTAATGGTAAATAGTTAATTTTTGAAGGCAATTGTAAAAAATAGTATTTGTTATAAACATTAATGACAATGAATGTTCATTCATCTTGTTGTTGTTGGAATTCGAACCTATAATCTCTAAGAATAACAACAATTCATTTAACCACTGGGATAGATATTATAAATAATTAATTAATTATAAATAAAATTTAATAATGTTTTTTATTATAATATCTATATAATTCATTTTTAAATATAAATATTTAGCTTTTCATGACCTTATAAAAAAAATTGAGTCGTCGTATTATTATGACCGATAATTGAGGCCATAATTATCAAATTAAAGAACTGATAGTGATTAGCCATTTTAATATTTTTTTAGTTGAAAGTTTCGGATTAGGACTATTAACATTATGAAAAATTAATAAATTTTATATTAGTTTATATTCATTAGAATTAAATAAATAAATTATTTAGGTTTAATTAAAATTTATTATTCATAAATAAATATTTTAATAATACTTTTTCTTTTTAAAGTTATGATTTAGATTTTAGGATTTATAGTTTAGGATTTGAGGTTCAGATTTTATGATTTAAGATTAGAGTTTAGGATATATGTTTTAGGGTTTAGGATTTTAAGATTTAAAGTTTAGAATTTGAGATTGAGATAAAAATAAATATTATTTTACTGTGGGTTAAAAGATATTTATTTATAGATTATAAATTTTAATTAAATTTAAATAATTTGTTTATTTAAATCTAAACATTTAAACGTAGTATAAATAAATCTTATCCCTATATACATATAATATATGACACGTTTACTTAAGGCATTGTAGCGTAATTCCAATGATTGAATTTAATAGGAAATAGACTATGAAATCGAGATGGGTTAATGCAACAGTTCGAGTTATGTCATAATAAGTTGGGTGATTCATATTTTTAAGTAATATCGCATCATTTATTTTAACCTGCCTCATAAAATTAACATTTTCCTTTATTATTACATTAATGATCCCTTTACTCAGTTTTTCTATCACACGCGCAGAGGCAACCCATTACCCATTGAATGGTCTCGATAGTGAAAGAAAATGTTATTTAGAGAACCCGAATTAGAACTATTGTGTTTGTCAAATGTATTGTCAATAAAATAAAATAAAAAATTATAAATAGATATTACCTCGTAATTATCTCAAACTATTAAAACAAAATTACATACAAAGACATCAAATGCATTCAGCACGATAAAACAAGGAGCTGTACAATACTCTATCCATTCCATGACACCGAAAATATCAATGGCAGCATGAAGTTATCAATTCTTGAGGGCAAAACAGAACTAAATCATACACACTATCCATATTTGATCTATTTGTCTTTTGTCATCTACTACTTGTACAGTTTCAGACAGAGACTCCCATCCAAGGGGTTCCCGCATTCATGTGGCTACAAAGCTATGCACCCTTCCATTTTCATTTATTTGTCAATATAGTGGACAATCGCTAGTCTGCCAAGGGCCAGATGGACCCTTATGCCGTTGATGTTCGCATTGAATGAATGGTTTCGATTCCGTACCTGCAAAGGCAGACCAATTATGGAGGAAGAGAGCTTGTCTAGAAGGATCTGGCAGATATCAATGAAGAAGCATTGCCATTATTGCATCTGTCCTGCAAGCGGAGACGAAAATGCAACTGAATAATTATTAATAATTCTGGCAGGGACAGTTTAGTAATCAAACCAACAAACTATTCCCGCAAAAAAAAATGCATAATTCGGTACAGTAACCGAAATCACACAATTTTGCTATACCTATCCTGGCTATTTCCACGAAAGGGATGTAATGCCAGTGTAGATCAACGAGTGGTGCGGAAAAAAGAGAAAAGGTTTAACGAAAGACGTAGAACTCTCACATTGCATACATTTGTCGATTTTCTCCTGAAGCTGCCCTGGATGACACCAGTGTCCGTTAGAATCCCCATCTTTGGTCCTGCAAGATTTTCAACCAGAAAAAATAAATCCATTTTTAAACCCTTCCATGAGACGGCGTAGCTCAATGAACCTCACCCAGAATGTATCCTGGGACCAATGAATCTGTACAAACCATGCATCTATGTTGCTTAAACTCTTATTTACCTGTAACCAGCACTTTTTTCGGACACATGGACATGGGGGATATGACCTTCAAGGGTCTTCCAAATTCAAGGCAAAAGTTTAGACGAGACTAACCATACCTATGTCAGAGAACTGTATCAGAAACTCACTTCCGAGTCCAAGTAAAATAGCTGCGCATCATAATCATCATTTACATAGAGGAACATAAAACAAAAACAATGATTTATCAGACATTTATTGTATGGACTTACTAGGATACCTTCGGGTTAAGAACTATATCATAACTTGGCAAGCCAAGTCAAAGTACATAGGATTCTTGCCTGACATTCAATTTCTCAACAAGTGAAATCAACACTCGGTTAAGGCAGTAAAAGGAAAAGAAAATTCTAATTACTGATTTCAGCAACAAAGTTTCAAAAGCAGATGGAAGACTGCTAGTTCTTATCTAACTACTGACACGACAAGCATCCAATTTACCCGAATGATCTGCTTACATAATCAACTAATCAACTCATAGATAAACCAAAAGAAGAAAATAGTCAAACCGAACAATATCGAATCTCAAATAACCTTTCCCGGTACCAATAACCAAATTAGATCTGTCTGGCACCCTGCAAAACATGGAAGAAATAGTGCTACCATGTAGATTTTCAACCAATCTATTTTACAAATGAAGA